ACATTGACATTCCTGCTCAGTCATATCGGTTGTGTGAAGAGAGGTGATGTTCTCCTGCTAGGTTTTCATAGAACATCTTTTTTAAAGAACAAGATACATTGCTGACTCTTACACCTCTTCACTCTTAATGTTTGCTGAAGTTATTATAAACAGTCACTGGGTTACCCAGAACCAAGAAATCAGCACAGAGGGTCAGTAGTAAATATTTCTATTCTGTTTAAAATGTCATGACTGAAATATTTATTCAGGGTGTAATAGCCTCAACAGGATCTTTCCTTTCTGTTGAATATAAACACAGTAGAAAAACCAAACAAAGTGGGTTTTGAAAGAATATAGCATGTGAGAGCCACATAGAAGTATACTCTCTGTTGTGAATTCTATCAGAATATACTTAGTACTTTATGATAATGTGTGTGCATGTAGCTACTAAGTTCTAGTAACTTGAACTCCAGATCTGGCTATCACATGTGGAGAAAAAACAGACTGCCCAATTCAGTGAAACAACAATAACATTTAATTGTGAATTGCTGTGTTTCAGAGATACCATACCATTGCTTGTAGGTAGTGCAGGATAGTCCTTCTCAAATTCTGTTCCTCTAGATGTTTTGCACTTTGGTTCCACAATTCCTAACAGCTGGCTTTCTGGTAGCTGAAGTCCAAAACACCCGAAGGAGCAGAGTCTGAGAAACACTGGTGCAAGATTTTTCTTGGCTTCCTCTCTCAGTCTTTTAAAAAAAGTTTGCCAGTTTTCTGTGTCTAGTATGTTACTGGTTAAGCTTCCTTGTGGAAATGAGGGTAATTAGGGAGGAGAAGAAGTTTTAAAGATGGAGACAAGAACAAATAACAAGAAAGCGAAAGAAAAAAATCAACCGTGTAATTCGGTTCTGGCCCAGCTGACCTGTTTTGGCCCAACTTACCTGTCAGAATGTATCTCCCACTATGAGCCAGTTAGAGCATTAAGATCTGCTGGGGAGGCCCTGCTCTTGGTCCCAGCCCCGGTGGAAACGAGAGGCAGGGCCTTCTCAGTGGTGACCCCTTGGCTATGGATCTCCCTCCTCAGTGACATCAGACTGGTATCCTCTCTCCTGGTCTTCAGGAAGAAGCTAAAGACCTGGCTTTGTACACAAGCATTCAGGGAGTAGTGGAAAGCGCAATATGGAATCCGTCTTGAATGTAGCTGCTTGAATAACGATTACGGGACTAGGCACTATGTTTTTAATCTGTTTTATTGTATTTATATATTTTAACTGTTTTATAATATGATATGTTATATTTGTTTATTGATTTGTATAATGCGGCATTGAATTTTTGCCATAATCTGTAAGACATTCTGAGTCCTCTTTGGGGTGAGAAGAGCGAGATATAAACATGGTAAATAAATAAATAAATAAATTTCAGCAATGGTTCAAATTTTGAATGGCACAATGCTTTTTGGTGGAGTCTGGCAGGCTTGCTTGATAAATGTGGCAGGCATGGTTATAGCATAGGTTATCATCATTTAAATTTCTTGTCATTCTCCAGAATATCACTGTATTATGCAGTAAGGTGAGAAATTACACTGTATAATTTCTATCCTTACTTAGTGCACTCAGCTAGATATTTTGTAATGGGAAAACTAAAGCAGGTGTTAGTGGTGGGCCTTTCCATGTGCTCATGGCTCTATCTATAAGCTTTCATTTGATTTAAATAAGATTAAATCTGTACATTCTGTTCTGTTATTCTTTTGTTATGCGTGAAAGGCTTAGGGATAATAGTTCATGGCATAGGGGACATTGACATTTTTGTTTGTAAATAATGTAGCTAGTGTATTTTATTCTCTGAATTCTGAGGGCTGTGAAAATATCTGTACAAGTGTTACTCCGTAAACCTAATAAAAGTTCATATGGAGGGATGGCTGTGTTTTCTTGCAAGTTCTACTTGTTCTCTAGTATGAAGAGTTCAGATATTATGTATTACTCTGCAACTGATCAAATGAATAATCTATTAGTTTTTGTATATTAGATAGCACGAGAAATGTCATCTAAAGTCTGGTGTTTTAATGTTTTATCCACAACATAGTTCCAGAGTGGTTATACTTGAGTGTTTCTTGTGGATGGAATGTACTATAATTTCAAACAGGTTTGGGTGTGTGCAGGGATTGTGGTAGTGATGAAACCAGCACACTCAGACTTGTCGCACACACCGATGGACATAAGTTCTCTTATCTGGTAGATAATATGTAGTGCAGAGTTTAAAAGGTTTTTTCTTCAAGAAAGCCAAAACAGCAAAGGGAAAGAGAAGAAAGTTTTTATACAATTCTATGCCCATCAGTCCTATATTTAATTTGTGCAGAAGTACTTTTCCTCTTAAGAGTTCTTTGAGAAGGTGCTGTTTGCCACAGGTTCTATATAGATCTGTATAGACAGGTTCTATATAGATCTATTGTGTATCGAGCTTCAGCCCCCAAAATAATATGTTTGTCTGTTTTCCATGGGAAAATATTGTCACTCCTTTATGCACAAGGAACTTCTGGAGAATATGAAATTGTCTTAGTTGTTATTGATTGAAATTCAGCTTCTCTCCTGAGAAGGGAGTCAAGGTTTTTTTTTACAATAATTTCAAAAAGATTAAGCTAAAGCATCAACTAAGATTATTACAGACTAAATGGGTTGTGTCTCACTCTTTGAATAACATTTGAAGAAGTTATGGTATGTGTGATTCTAAAATTATATTATAAATGAATATAACATAAAATATAATATAATATTAAATTTGGTGATCATGATTTGGGTAGAAGTGATTTCTCAGAGATGTTAGGGGCTGGAAAACCAATTTAAGGGAGAATGTGTGCATGTAGTGTTTCACATCGTCTTTTTATTCCAGCAAAATCTTCATATAATAAAGAGTTGCACATAATGCTAGAATTGTGCTATATATTAATGTTAGTATATGTCACAATAGTCTTTTGATGAGAGCTGGTTGAAAATAACGCTGCCTCTCTCTGACATCCACATTTCAACATTCATTCTAGGATTACACGTTACTTTGCTTAATGAAGACATTACATTGTGTCACTAGATCAAAAATCCTGTGTTTACTCTTTGCCTTCTTCCTACTCTAGTTTTCCCTCCTAAGCATAATAGAGTCACACTTGAAATGGCTTCTCCCCCCTCCCCATGCTCCTGTTATTTTAGACCCTTTGTAGCGTCAATTAAAACCCCAGTTAGTGGAATAGTGAGTAAAGAATCTCTCCTACTCCCCCATCTCCACCTCCCTTTGTAGCTCCTCTCTCTTTGGCCACTGAAAATGTAGGTCAAATTGCATCACCATAAAATGGAACAGTCAGAAAGGTGTTTGAAAAATGCTGACATCCTTAGCCCGGGGTGCATGCCGCTGCCTTTTGTTTACATTGAGAATAGCGATCTGACGATGTACCTGTAAATGAATATAAATATCTTTTTTAAGGTTAGTGGTATGGCACCTAAATAATTAGTCAGAATGGAGTCATAATTTCCTTTTGTTTTCTTTGAGTAATTAAAACTACACAGAGCAACGTGCAATAATTTACAATGCTGAGACTCAGAGAAACTCTTTTGAGATATCTTATTTAAGGCATCCATGAATGTTTACATGTGAAAGACCTGCTGTCTTCTACTTGTAGGTTGAACAATAGCTTGTGATGATTTTTACATCCATGTGCTTTGCAATCATTACTTCTTTATTCTCTCAGATGTATGCAGATGTGCTTTACATTCCACATAATGTATGCCTTTTGTGGAGATGTATAATCTTATGCATTTCATCATGAGAAAAATGTGAGTGAAGAATGTCTTTACAGCAGCTAATTTATTTTCTATGAAACATTGGAATTATTTATTATACTATTGATCAGGAAAAAATCTAGTTGGCTAGAGTATCTATTGTAACAATTACAAACTTTTTCCTTTGTTACTTCAATGCAAAGTTTGGTATGAATTATAAAAGAACTTGATATATATTTTACTGGATATTGATATGAATTGTCTGAGTCTGTAATCATTGTTTGAAAATAAGTAAGCAAAGAAAGATCCATGTTGTTGTTGTTGTTGTTGTTGTTGTTGTTGTTGTTGTTTTTGTTGAAGTAACAGTCCAATATCAATGTGTAGATTTTTCTCCAGCAGGATTTCATGTAGTTGTTTATGTTTACAGAGCAGAATTACTATATCTTATCATCTCATTAACAATTCTCTCTACTTTTGGAGATTATCTGGAAGATACAAAGAAAATTACTGCAGATGGAGATGAACCTGCTATAGACAATAGCATGTGATTGACAGTTAGGGCAGAAATAAGAAGCATGGTTGCCTGTGTGCAGTAATTACAGAGAAAAGGAAGATCAAATGGAGAAGTCAAATATAAGGGTGAATTCTTCAAGAGCTCTTTATTGTGGAAAGGGTTTGTTCTACAGGTTGTTCATTACCAGGACATTGAGATAGTTTCATTAAAGATACTGAGAGTTAGCTGTTGACATTGAAATGTTGTGATTATAAAATATTCCAGTATTGTTTATATGGTGGCATGCTTCTGGGAGTTTGCTGCCATTCTGTCACAATAAATTAGAGCATTGTTAGAGAATATTATTTCGTAGATCAATATTACTGTTTCCCTGAAAGAAAATAATTATAAAAATCTATTTGCCTTACTTTTGCACAAGGGCACTGGTTTTATATGTGAAAGCTAGATTCTCTTAATTAATTTCTCTGGAAATAGTTTTAAAATCTTATTATTTTAAATTTACTGGGTGATATTTTTTCTTCAGATACAGAAATTGTTATTTTTAAAACTGGTTTTAATGGTTTTAATCTTGCGATAGTTTAATGAGCTTTAAACTTTCATGTTTTGTGAATTTTAATTGTGTTTTTACCCATTGTAAGCCACCTTAAATACTTCATTTCAGTTAAGTACATGTTTTTACTTCGGCAAGATAAGATGACAAAATCTTATTACTGTGATAGTAATTGTTAACATGTGTCCCATTGCAGATTTAATCACACATAAGAAAGAGGAAACTTCCATGGTGCAGACAGATGATGATCAATTGATAAATCAACCCTGAATTTTACCAGACTTTTAAGGTACTGTGACCTACTAACCTATATGTATATATATATTCCTCAATTGTTATGTCTGTGTACTTTGAGATGGAGAACACACTGAGACACAAAGGACAACAAAGCAGTGAAAAAGGCAGACACTCAATTTGTTTGAAAGGCATAGCAGTAGTGCTACTTGTTGAATGAATTTTTGTGATATGGGTTTTTCTGACTGCAAAGTTCCTGATTTCTTTTGGCTAGAGATATCAGCATCACTCACAGTGACATGCTGCTACTGTTCTTGTTGTAAGGAAGAAGGTTATTCTTTCTTTTTTCATTTCTGTTTAAAGAGGAAGGAAACACATGCTGACTTCAGTATTGTGTGGTCTATTAAAAAACCCTAAAGTCTGCAATCCACCAACACATGAGAGAGAGAGAGTTCTCAAGTATATACTCTTGCTTAAGAGTGTTAGAAGTACCTTGCTAAATCACACCAAGATTCACCTACTCTTAACATTCTTTACAAGAAACCTAGCAGTCAGTCAGCATTATGAATTACTGCAGGGCAAGGAACTTCTGGCTCTCTGTCTGTTTTGGCCAAGAATTTTGGCCAACAATTTGGGGGGGGGGGGAATAAGACTGTTGTCATAAATCTATGGTTTCAAAGGCTACAGATAACGATTTTGTATTCCAAACTTTGACACAACAACCCAGGATTAGTATATAAAAATATACTTAAAATCAAAGATTTAAACTCTTTTAAATCCCATGTAATAAAATGTAATAAACACAAGCAGTAGAACAAATAAAATATACTATTCACTTGCACTCAAAAATATTACAAAATTAGATTTTATATGATAAACTGAATGATAATAGTATGTGGATAACTTGATCACTACTGGAAAAGAATTCTATAGCTGGAGTTTGTTCATTGAGAAGACCTCTTGACACTTTTGGTAGTCCCAGAGACCACACTCTTGCCATGCGTTCCAGTAGAGTCTCCCTCGCTAATCTTAAATCTTTGGCAGGATCTTATGGGGAAGGCATTTTTCCAAATAACTGTATCCTGAATCTGACACCCCTGCTAGGGGAAATGCCACTCCATTGAAAACAGATGATTTCCCTCTAAAGTCCATCTCAGTTGCTAGGAAACCAGGTCTTGTGCTTCAATTTAATGTTGTTGGTTCATTGCAGTTCTTCTCACAGTTAGCACCATATTCATAGGGACTTTTATTGTAATATGCAAGAGCCACGGTATTAGTTGGAGGGAACTTGTGCTATTCCATACCCTTTGGTCATCTGAACTTATTTTATTTTTCTTAATTATATTGAGGAATTTTTCTCTGTAACAGAATACTGTAACCCCTTCCCATATTATTTTTGGAGCACAGAGATCAACCTGTGCCCAAGGCATACTTATCAGTCTGGATAATCCAGTATTGTCCACTTTAGATAGTGGTTTATGGAATCTCAGGTGGAAGTCCCTCATGCTATCTGATCTATTTAAGTAGAGAATCTGGAATTTTATGCATGCAAAGCGTGCTCACTCCCACTGATCTGTTGCCACCATCTCTTAATGTGTATGAATTACACTTGTAGAACTTTCCATGTTACAGGATCAGGTCATAAATGAAACAACTGTCAAATGTCTGTAAGCAGAGCACTTAAGGGATATGAGGACTATCTTTCTCAAAAAAAGGATCAACATCTGTAGAAAATGGTAAATATGCAAAAGGGAGCATTGCTAGAATTTGCACAATTTAGGTTCTGCAGTGTTCAGATTCTTAGACACCTTGTGCCCTTTTTTCATGTCCTGAAGGAATAAATGAAAAGCTTCTCCCTCTTTTGAGCTGACTATACTCTCCCATCAAACCTCAATTACTGGTGGTTTGTGTAAACTTTTGCTGGTAAAACAAGCAAGCATTAAACTACAGTACACTTGATTCAGAGATTCTCTCACAGTTATTGGTTTATGTATTGAATTCCATTTTACCTGTGGTGGAAGGCAACTAAAAATTTATTGACATACATGAAGTCTAATATGTATTATTTGAATCATATGTTCAGTAACAGCGTGTTTATTGACCTGCTTCAGTTTCACATGCAAATATAGCTTTCCTTTCCTTGCTGCTTAAGTGATAAATTTAAACATAATTAGTTCAAATATAATATAGCTAACATTAATCCAGCTTCTGCTATCTCCATTATGTATTTTCTGATTGAGACAGAATGTCAGGCATTACTGTAAAACACAAGCAAACAAAAATCTTTCCAACATACACAAAAGTATGTTATTAATAAAAAGGGGAAATGGCATTGTGTGCCTGATGTGACTGTTCTGAACTGGGCATAATAACATGTAGTCATTATGAAAATGCAGACTTTTATCTTTAACTTTAAAAAGGATTTTTTTGGACCTTGTATTTAGGAGAGTTTTGACAAAGTCTCAATTTTTAAACATTAAAATACATGTGGGAGCGGGGAGAGCATTCTCATTTTTATTTTGTAAATAAAATAAATATTTGTAGATCAAAATGGATTCTTTAGAAACAGTGACTCACCAGTACCTACCTACAAAACCTGTTATTCTGGTTCTTGTTTTAGATTTGTAAAACATTCCAGGTAATTAGGAAGATAGCAGTATGTTAAAATCTTACGCAAAGGGCAGTCCAAATTAAATTGACAAAAACATGGTATTGGAACTTCACCTTATCATTTAAATTTTTGCTACTCTAACCTAGTTCAGATTACAAGATTTTATTGGAAAGTACGACTTATATTACTTATCATCAAAGTGTCACTTGGGGAAAAGAATTCATCGGTGAGCGCTGCCATTGAGAAATACTTGCTGTTAAATAAACATCAAAGATATTATTTTGAGGTTGACAGATATTTATGACCCCTCATCTTCAGTGCCAACAGAAAAATTGCACCTGTTGCAATATCTACTATGAGCTATCAGAGTAGCAATCTCTTCTTTGCTTACCAAGAATGAGATGATACTTCACGTGTTGTAACACAGAACTCGCTTTGTGATACAGTAGCATACATCTAGATTGGCAGGCATTGTTTATCTTTTTTAATGCACGGAGGTATTTGCGTACTTGAGAGCCAGTGTGGCATGATGATTTGAGCGTTGGGCTACAAGTTTGGTTTAATCCCTGCTTGGTCATGGAAACCCACTGGGTGACCTTGAGCAAGTTACACTCTCTCAGCCTCAGAGAAAAGCCAAGAGAAACCCCCTTCTTTATTTACTAAAAGTATTTATTACTAGTCATTTTTAGGATCTTTCAAAGTATGATAAAATGTATTGAAGACCAGTCATATTAACTGTAGTTTCTGAAGACCTTTCAAGGCCAGTCTCACATGGAGCATGTTACAGTATTTTTGGAAAGTGGTTAAGACAAGATTCAAATCAGAAATATGAAGATGAGTAACCCCATTCAGAACAGGTTCTAATTCCTGTCACATTTTGCTGTCCAGTAGACCTTGTTTGCTACCTAGCAGAAGTTTTCTTTTTTGTATTGTTCATTCACATGCATTCTATCACTCTAATAGCAGAAAAAGAGAAGTTATAGTTGGGTACAGAGTCTTGAGGTACACAAGCTAGTAATCATAAATCCAAGCAATAGTCCCTAAATGAAATCTTATCTAACCGAAGAAATGGTGCCAGTCCCCATATCAGGTAAAGAAACCAATGAGATACCATGACAGATAGCATTAAATGCTACCAAGAAGACCACCAAAATTCACACGGACACACATTTATTTATTTATTTATGATATTTCTATCCTGCCTTAAGGCCGAAGGCGACTCAAGGCGGCTTACAAATTGGCAGCAATTTGATGCCATAAATATCCACAATATACAATTAAAACAGCTTTATAAAATCAATATAATCACATCTCGTAGCAGAACACATCCTACAAATTGATCAAAACCTTTTCTGGGATATTAGAATGTTAATATATTAATGTTAATATATTCAGAGAACAAAATAACAGAAAGAGTCCTGCATGTTGTGATTGATGATGGTCTGGATTTTTCCTCATCTTTAGAGGCCTTATTAGAATATGGCCAATATGTATGTTTGTGTGTAAGCATACATATATACAGATACATATATGTATATATTGGCTATGCTCTATCTAGGTATATATATAAAATAAAATCAAGTATCCCAACAAATCCCTTCCTCCCCAGTGCAAGCTTAATTATAGCCCTTTAAAAGCCATCTTAGATAAGAAGATCAGACAAATCTTCCTGGAGTCTGCTCAGGCTCAAGTGATCCTTGGATGGGAGAGATTTTAGCAGTTAAGGAATATTTACCAAGACATTATGGTAGATATGGAAAGTTTTTTTAAAAAAAAACAAACAAACTCAGCCACAGGGGAATGTGATATTAGTTCCTTAGTTACCCCTAATAAAAAACAGTTTCTTGACAGACTGTTGTTATTATATTCCTAGTTTGATTGACAGTTTGCAATCTTGTGTACTTTAGTGATGAATCATAGAATTGGAAGAGATCACAAGGGCCATCCAGTCCAACTCTATTCTGCCAAGGCAGGAACACTCAAAGTACTCCTAACAGTTGGCCATCCGGCCTCTGCTTCAAAGCCCCCAGAGAAGGAGACTCCACCAAACTCCCAGGCAGCACATTCCACTGCCAAACTGCATTAGAAAGAAAATTAAAATGTCCCATTCTCCTAAATTAAGTGTTGGCCTGCATAATGTGATCTCTGAGCAATATAACCATTACATCTTTTATACTTCAGTTAAAGATTTTGCATGTTCAACTTGGGTAAAAGGGAAACTGAAGTATTATTGTATTCTCAAAGGCTTATCACTGGGATTGGGTTTTGTGTGGTCACCGGCCCATATGACCATGGTCTAGCAGCATTTTCTCCTGATGTTTCTTCTGCATCTGTGGCTGTCATCTTCAGAGGAAGTATTATTATTGTTTTACAAATACAGTAATTTCATTCAGTTTATCAACTTCCTTTTTTTAGGTCCTCCAGATGGCCTTTTTAAAACTGGA